TTAATACATGCAAAGTGTCTGTTGACGTTGCCCGCGATGGCCACCCCCAAAAAGTATTTTTGAGGCATCATGGTGAAATCAGGCTCTCTTCAAAGTAATGAAATCAAAGAAAACAGCATTTTTTTCTTCCCACATGGCAATTTTTATCGAATTTTAGTTTTTTGGCTCAAACCCTTTTATGTCCATACAAAAACATATTTCCAGGGGATTTTTACAGAAAAACGTTGATTGAAGGCACACATTGTAATTTTTTTTAGTTTTAAAGAACTATCAAACTATTGAAGTAACCAACCTTTGGCGGCCATTTTCTCACTAATTTTACCTCTGAAACCAGGTGACCACCACCTCCTTCATTCACAAATATCTCGACTTGCGTTCAAGATAAATGGACAGTCATTTTATTCATCCAAACAAGACAAAAGAACAAGCCTTAAGATGATACTAGTAAGTGTACATGCCCCAAAATTGACGAGAGCCCGATTCCACCACGCCGTGACATGTTTTCTTTTCAACAGGTAGACGACTAGGCTAGTCCCATTATACGGTCATAGAAGAGCACGTAAAAGAGGAGGGGAAAGGGGGGGGGGGGAGTTGTAAGTGGTTGTTTGCACAGGTGACTGAATATGATAATATGATTTCCTTTTACATTTGTACTTGAGTCACTGCAGGTCGCTTGATGAAACTCCTTGCAAGGTTGACTACAGCTGTAGAATAGAATATGGTTCCCACTTTGATAAATTAATCAACAGAAAGGGTTTCGTTAAGCTGGTGGGACGCTAGGGCACTGCTACAAGTAGAATTGGGTTCAAATCTTGATCTTTGAATCCTTGTTGATATGACATTAAAATTTTTTTTTTACATGGTTGGCAAGTGATCTAGTGTGGTTTCGTCCCTCTCTCCTATCAAACATCTATCGTCCATATTTCTCCTCCTTTTTTGTGCGGTTGTTACTCTCTTGTAACACCTCGAATCTTCGGCGCTTATAAAAATAATTTATGACCTTTGTGTTGCAAAACTCTCCCTAAAACTGTAAATGGGTGGTTGGCGGGTGCTCTGGTGCGGTTTGCTTCTTCTTTCCCATGAAACATAATAATATGTCGTCCGTATCTCCCCTTCTTAATTTTTATGTTTGTTACTCTCTTCTAACACCTCTAACCTTATGGCGCTCATATGACATTATGCAGGTGTGAGCGCCGTAAAACCTCTACTAAAACTAAACTAAAACTGAAAAAAAAAGAAGTTACGATTAATCAGTACAACAATCGGATAAGGATGAAAAGCATAGCACCGTCTCTAGATGAAATTAAAATTTGTGGAAACGGACAGAGAAAGCCGCTGACTCATTCTGAAGAGAGCCCGTGTGCTTCTGAGTTTGAGTCAGGGCGCAGTGGAATCAGGTGCTCATAAATTTTTGAGTATATGGAGCTAGTGGAATTATCTTTAAGCTTGTTAATTTGTCTTGCTTTTGATGAAAAAAATACCCATCTATCTTTGACAAAAATGCAGATATGTCGGATTCAAGTTTTTTAACGGGGTGGGGGTGGGGGGGAGACCTGATTTCAGAGGTAAATTTAACGAGAAAATGGTGGTAAAAGTTAGGTGACTTCCAAAGCTTGAGATTGCTTGGAAACTGTAAATTTATATTTAAAAAATCCCTAAATCAACGTCTTTAGTAAAATTCACACAGCAATGATTTAAAAAAATAGACATAAAGTGTGTTGAGCCAAAAAATAACGGTTTTCTTCGATTTCATTATTTTGACGAGCTCCTGATTTCACCATGATGCCTCACACTTTTTTTGTTGGGGCTGAGTTGGGATTGATAGCAAACTTGGTTTTCAATACCGACAAAGTACAAATAGTTATAAAGAAACATGAAAAAACCCCAAAACAAACAAACAAACAAACAAAGAGGATACATTTCCCACTGATCAGGTAGGCTACATGTTTGTTCCAAAGCAATTAAGTGACCAGGTGCAAAGCTAGAAAAAAATGCAGTTTGCCTTGACAAGGGAAATAATCAATACAAATATTTCTGTGACACAATTACCTTATTACTCCCCCTACTTAGAGTTTCAAGTTGTTTGGATGTTAAGAGGAAGACAGAAGTCAGGCTGAAGAAAGGAAGCCAAAAGAACTCTGTTATGAAAAGCTGTCAGCATACTGTTAATTATTACACATTTTGCCTCTGTAACATGACGAGAACGAAACAAATTAATGTAAACTGTTTAGTCATTCAGAATTACTTTACGTCCCCCATTTACAATTTTACTTGACCTTTTTTCCCTTGCCCATTTATTTCTATGAGATGACGCCATCTGATGAGTAGAAAAATTTGCACATTTTAGTGTTCAATGGTGTATTGTATACATAATTATCATAACATGTAAATGTTACAGATATAGATAGAAGGAATATATGTGTATGTCAAGGTTCTGAAAGCAATGGCGATTTTAGATAATATCAAACAACATGTGGGAAGATAAAGAATCATATTTTATTTGTAAAAGTTGAAACATTTTCTAAAATATTAAGAAATAAAGGAAATAATCAGTTGTGTTTTTTTTGCTTCTCCTGTAAAATTTTGCTAGTTGCGTAAATTTTGTCTGTGGCGTTTAGGGGGTTTGTGCACGACGGCAACGGTATGATGGTGGTGATGAGTGATGATGTGAGAAGGTGTCTATGTAAATAATTATTGAGGAGATTTGCGTTCATTCACTGTCAGATGAGGTTTTTTAAAAATGTTAGTGACCTAGTGACCTTATGTTAGTGATAGTCCTATCTTCCTCTGCTCTAATGAGTCACAAGGGACGTGAACACCCTCTCTAAAGCAAAGAAAATCACCAGGCCCTGATGAAATTACAAACGAAATGTTACAACACCTGGACAACACTACTTTACTGACTCTACTGGATATTTTCAACTGAAGCAGGAAAATGGCAAGTATCCCAGTGCTGGAAAGAAGCAACGATGATCCCGATCCTCAAGCCAGGGAAAAGTAAGGCACAACCACTAAGCTATAGACCTATCAGCCTCACAAGTTGTGTATGTAAGACAATGGAGCGCATCATAGCAAGCAGAATGCAGTGGTACCTAGAGGCACATCACATCCTAATACCAGAACAAGCTGGATTCCGTCAGTTCAGGAGCGCAGCGTACTAAACAACTTACTTGTCCCAAGTTATAGAGGACTCCTTTCAGGCTCAGAAAGTGATGCTAGCAATATTTATTGATCTACAAAAAGCGTTTGATAAGGTTTGGAAGGAGGGTCTACTAATCAAGCTCCTCAGAAGTGGTATCCAAGGCAACATGTACCAATGGACCAAATCCTATTTACACAGCCGTAGAGCACGTGTGCTGGTGGATGGATATCAAGGACGGAAAATGCTGCTGCGACAAGGAGTACCCCAAGGTGGAGTCCTGTCACCTTTGTTCTTTATCCTCTTCATCAATGACCTCATGAAAGAACTGCCCAAAGGAATACACACCGACTTGTATTTGGTGCTCTGAGGAATTCGTTACTACTGCCACATATCGCATGCACCTAGCACTGGACAAACTCACTACATGGACAAAAACCTGGTGTGTAACCGTAAACAAAGAAAAGTCGTCTGCTACACTCTTCACTTTCAGCCAGGCTGAGCCAAAACACCTCACATAAGACAACCACCCCCCCCCCCCTAAAGTTTGAGAATCAACAGAAGTATCTTGGAATAATCTTTGACAAGTGTCTCACATGGAAACAACACCTTCAAAGTGCAGAAAATAAAGCCAGGAAGAAACTTAACATCAAGAGAAAACTTGCAGGGACTCAGTGGGGAGCAAATGAGAAAACATTTAGACAGGTCTATCTAGGCGCAATCAGGCTCCATCTCCAGTACGGATCCAGTGCATGGATGACTGCAGCACAGACTCACAAATACACTCTGGAAAAAGGGCAAAACCAGGCTCTCCGAAAATCACCGAAGCAATGAGGTCAACGCCTATAGAAAGATGGAACAAACAACATCTATAGTGGCCCTGCAGAGGAGATGGGAGTGCAAGGCCCTCATACAGTACACCAAGGCCACAGCTATGGAGGATCATATACTGCACACAAGAACAGCCAGATCAAACACCACAAGACTAATAAGATCCAACTTCATCAAAGAAAGGATAGAGCCTTCGTTCTGACGTAAATCTCCCAACAGAGCATAACAGGTAACGATACATAATATTATGAAGTCAGTAGATTAGGTGAAGGTGAAAGTGGAGAAGTAGGTTAGGAAACATAATATCCAATAGTTGGATTTTAAGAAAGCAAAAGGTGTGATTTAATTTCCAGGGATATGAGATAGCTATATTATTTTCTATCTAAACTGCAGTTGGTTTCAATCGTTAGAAACGAATGCTGAAGTCTCAGAAGCTGATTTGGCCCATTTCTTTCTTTTTAAAAAATGGGCTGAGATTCCCAATACCCATCCCAGCAAAATGGACATGGATTTGCAGGGTCCGTCTTAAAATAACTCAAGTTTTCGCCCCAGGAGATGCTAAAGCTTCAACTCAGGAGAATCCCTCCCACAAGCCTGAGACAATCTCGATCTACATCTGAGAGTTACTGCACAGCTGTGGGCAATGTTATATCCTTTTTCTTGTCTTTTTTTCTTTTTTTTGGTAAGTGTTTTACGCGCTCGCAACTGCATAAGGTCATATGATTTATGAACGCGCGGGGCACATTAAACACTTCAGTTGGTAGGAAATTAACAATTTTGATCGGGTGGCGGCCGAAGCCTACTCTATCGATTTTAGACCACCAAGTGACCTTTAACGTGCGCACCTTGCACACGGGCCCTCCAAGAATTTTCGCCTTATCCGAGGAGGCTAGGTGTAGATCTTTCCTATCAGAAGATCAGGGGTGTGGCTAAAAGACAGCAGTATGAAGGAGCCAAGGAGTAGCAGTAGAAAGGACTTTTTGAGAAATACTGACAGTTTCAAAGAGATCTTCATACTAGAACTATTCTAAAATGTGAAGAATACAACCCGGGGGTACAAATTGACCAAAGGGCTTACGGATATGGTTAAAATGTAAGATCTGAACCGTGTTTGAAGTCTGTTATTGTTGTTAGTCGAAGGAATTTCGCGGAACGTTGGAAACCCATGCATACACGTTTTGAAGAGGTATCTTTAGGTTCACGTCAATTTGATTTCGTTTTTGTATTGACTATAATTCTAATAATTCTAATAAATAAATATTCCTTGTCACTAAACATTTCGTCTGAGTATTGAGACAATCTGGGTGACGTTTGCGTGTATATTTTTTCCAGCTTAGAAATGTCTAAATGTCTAAATGTCTAAATACAGAAAGAGAATTATAGCCCGAGGCAACAAACACCAGACAAATTGTCGTTTTCAAAATCCGTTTTGTGCATTAGCTAGGCAAACTCAGTTGGGCATTTTTTCGGATTGAGAGCGCATTAAAAACCCATCCCCACACCTATAACGTACCCTTTTGAAGGCCCATTATAAAACTTACCGAAGACATTTAAGTTATGAATAGATTTGACCTTTTTGGGGGCCAGTTTAAAGTCGAAAATTTGAAAGTTACCTGCTCAGTGCACGGGCGAAAAGTGAAGGAGAGAGAGAGGCTGTGTCAGCTTTCAGCAACACCACAGAAACTGCTAGCCTACCTCTCACGCGTTTACCATGGAGTCCAAGTGCACCCATCTCGTCTTTGCTGTCGTTTGTTTGATTCTGTGTGTAGGGGACAGCTCCCAACAGCAGAGGGGCTCCTTCGCTTACCCACGTCCTGTTGCCCAGCCACAGTACAGACCTTCTCTCCCGTCTTTTCCCAACCGGTACCCGTAAGTAGTCACACTGTTTTCTTTTCTTGCCAAGCGCACAGAGGTAACATCGACAAAGTGTTCAACTGTTCGAAGCCCAGAAAGCAAGTTCTTTTGTTTTTTAAAATAGATCTAGAGAAAAAACAAAACAAAACAAAAACAAAAAACAAAACAAAAACAAAACAAAAACGACCCAAACAAACAAACCAAAGAAAACCCCGAACAAAAACAACAACAACAAAAAACCCAACAAAAAACCAGCCGCAACTCTTTTATTCTTTAAAAATGAGTGTACCTTTATTTTGTGCATGTATCTTTTCTTGCTTTTATCAACGTTTAGAATTTGAATTTCTAGTAAATGAATTTCTCAAGAACACGCACCCGATTCAACAGATTAAGAAACTGAGCTATTATATAAAAAAGAAATACAAATGTTGGGCATAGCACAGCTGACCGACGATACATGTAGATATTCGTTTGTTTGTTTTAGTAGAGGTTTTACCGCATTCGCTACAGTATAAGGTAATAAGAGCGCCAGAAGATTAGTGGTGTTACAAGGGAGTAATAAACGTAAAAAGAAGGAGTGGAGATATGGACAATAGATGTTAGATAGGAAAAAAGTAGCAAACCACCCCAGAGCACCCGCCAACTACTCAAGTGTAGATATTCATAAAATATTAATAAATTAAGACCAGTGGTGAAGAGCAGTGTAACCCCCCCCCCCC